TGCCCCTGCCTGGGTTTTCTGCTTTTGGGCGGCATTTCTCGCCCATCCAGTCTGCTTGCTTCCCACTTTTGCTGGCATGTTTTCGTATCTTTAGCGTCGGTCACAGTCCTCTGTTCTGGCAGCCATTTTCGTCTGCCGGTTTCCCGGCTTGGCCACCAGGGCGGCGTTGCGGTTTGTTTAAATGCACCTGGGTGTACGAGCGAGCTTCTTGGGTGAGTTTTCATCTTTTTTCAGAGGTTTTATTCTCCTGTTGTCGTTTCTTTGCTTCTCTGGGAACGTTTGAGTGTTGATTTTACACCGGGTTTCCCTTTTTCTCTGTTTTGGGTCTGGGCCTTTGGGTTTGGGCTCAGTGTCCCCGACTGTTATGCTTGCTCCCACACCTTGTCCTTTGGTTTTCGGTCTGTTATGACCGTTTCCCAGGGGTTCTGTCTGGGGGCTGTGCTTTGCCTTTCTGTGGTGTTTCTCCGCCGGCAAATTGTGGTGGTTTGGCCTCCCCCTGGTTCGATTCCGGGTTCCTTTTGGTTCTTTGGTTTCGTTCCGGAGGTTTCTTCCTCTTGGGCCCCCTTTGTGGGTTCAGGGGGCTTTGTTTCCTCGTGTGTGACCCGGTTTCTGCCTCCTGGAGTTCCGGCGTCTTCCTGGCTTGCAGACTGATCTTTTTGGGTCTTGGCACATGTTGTGGTCGTGCTGGGACTTTGAGGTTTTGTTGTGGAGGTGGGCCTTTTGATGCAGTTTTGTGCCTTCTTTGCCTGGCCGGCATGTGTTCTGCCCACTGGTTGGCGGCTTGTAATTTTCTCTTCAAGTGTATGTGTGTATGTACGCATGTACATGTGTACACTGTGTGTGTGTGTGCACATGTGCATGTGCATACGCACGTGTGTGTAACATACCTTGTGTGTATGTGTATATGTGTATATGTATGTGTATGTGTATATACATGATATGTATATATGTGTATGTGTACTTTTTCTTTCGGAAGGGGCTCTGTTCCCATCTCTGTTGACGGGGCGCTGGGGGAGCAGCTTGCTCTGTTGACTCTCGTATGGTCCCGCTGTTGGTGGGCGCTTTTGGTTTCTTCCGGCCTCTGGTGGCGGCGGTGGACGGCTTCTCCCTCTTTGGGGGGTTCAGAGCTGGCGGGGTGGGCTTCTTCCCCTGCACTTCATCATGTCATATTGTTGGGCGTGGTCGATCTGCCTCATCCTTCTGGGGTTCCTGTCTCCTCTTTGCAGACATGGGCCTTTTGAATCTGCAGTTCTTCTGGACTTCTTCAGTCTGCACCCTGGTTTCTTTGCCCTCTTCGGAGGACTGTTATCTCCTGTCCGCCTTCTGTTGGGGCCGGGTGCCTGGATGGTGGCCCTAGACCTCCAGGTCAATTATTGGCACTTGGTGTATTTTTGCATCTTTACCAGATCTTGGTGCCCTGTCTGAGTCTGCTTGAGATTCGGTGTCTGACTTACCTTGACGACTGGCTGGTGTGGGCTCCCAGTCGGTCCGCTTGTCTGCTCGCCAGGGGTGTGGTTCTTTCCAGATCGCCGGGTTTGGTTTCCTGGTGATCTGGAGGCCATTCCATCTGTTTCCATCTTGGGTTTGGACCTGAGCCTAGTTTAGGGCTATTGGGCCACTCCTTGTCTTTCTCTCCAGAAGTGTTACTGCGGCTGTGGTCCCACCTTCGGCTGTTCATGAGGGAGTTCCGTTTTGCTCGAGCGGTTGTGCGGGAGTCTGAACTTCGACATGCTGGTCTGCCCGCGGGGTCGGGTTTGGCTTCAGCGTCTGGTTCCTTCAGAGACTCCCCTTCCGCCTCTTGCAAACATTGGGTTCGTTCCTCCGGGGATTTTGTGTTGGTGCTGCGTCACCAGCTTCCTCTTTTGGGTTTTCGGGGTTCCGTGCCTTGGCATCTCCCCGAGCCTTCGCTCGATGTGTTCACAGACGGGTCATCTCTCGGCTGGGGCTTTGTGACTAGTGCTCACCAGGTCGGCCGGGGATGGTGGAGTCTGTCCATCCATCGGGCTTACAGCATGGTTCGGGAGTTCGTGGCTGTCTGGTTTGCACTTCGGAGGGTTTGGGTCACTCGGTGCTCTACCATTCAGCTCCATTCGGACTGTTCTCTGGCAGTTCATGCCGGAACCATAGTGTTTCTCTTAGGTGTTGACCTTTTCGGTTGTTTCCTTGGAGTGGCTCATTTGCTGGATTCTCGGGGTTTGGCTAACCATGAGTTTCATGTCCGGGGTGTGTCCTGCGTCCTGGCGGACAGCTGTCTCGGTTCATTCTTCTGTTCGCGGATTGGCCAGTCATCGCCAACTCATTTCGTTGGCTCTGCCGGACGTATGGACTCCTGGCCATGGATGTCTTTGAGTCGGCGTGGTCTAGGCATCGCCCATTTTATGTGGCGCCCTTACCCGCCTGCGAGGCGTTCACGTTGGATGCTTTTCGGCAGGACTGGTCAAGGTGGGGGTACCTGTTCCTCTTCTCCCGGTCCAGCTGTTGCTTCGGGTTCTGGCTTGGTTGCAGCCCAATCCTACGAGAGCTTTCTTTTCAGACGCTGCTTGATAGGTGTCCGAACCTGGGGCGTTTTCCCGCGGCTCCACATCTTTCAGCAGGTCGGATCAGTCCTGTACGTGACTGGTTCGGCCTTCTCGGCTCTTCGCGTCTGGTATTTTGACGCAGGTATCACCATCTCTGTGGTGTTCAGGTGGCCTTGTTGACGGTGTCCCACCTGCGAGCTTCGTCTTGGCGACAGTATGACGTTCCTGGTGTTTCTATGCACTTTTTCTTGCTCTTTGTACGTTGTCTTCTCTTTTGCATCGGGTTGTCTTGTCCTTTCTTGGGTTTTCAGGACTACAGTTATTTTACGTTTCTTACTGTTGCCTCGTTTTGTGCGGCGCTGGCGGAGCCGCTCCGGCTTGCGTTCGGGGTGGACTTCACATCTGCCCCGTTTTGTACGCTTTCTCGTGTTTTGTTTCACCTCTGGCCTGCTCATGTGTCGCCTGCGCCTTCCTGGTCCTTGGTCAGGGTGCCTTCTTATCTTCTCCTCAGTTTGTGGTAGCCCCTTCGGTTCAGGTTTCTGCTCTTTGGTGCTGGTGGTAGATTTGTAAGTGTGCAGCCTTTCTCCGTCCTGGCGACGGTCGAGATGGCTGGTTTCCGGAGGGGTTCTTGGGTTATTGATGCTTGATTTGGTTTGGCTAGGGGTGCGTCCTGTGTTGTCCGGTTGCGCTTTTTGCCGTTACCTGCGTACTGTGTCTGGGGATGCGCTTTGGTTTGATTCGGTTCCTCTTATTCCCTATTTCAGGGCTCGGGTCTCCCAGGTCATCTGCAGAGTTTTTCAGTCTTCCAGCCTGCGGTCTGTCTTTGCGCCCGTGCTGTTCGGACGTTTGCAGCTTTTGCTGCTGTGTTGGTGACTTGTAGGGCTCATTTCGGGCGCAGGGAATTGAGGGTCGCACAGGTTCTTGGCCGCCCATTCTTTATGCAATTACCTAAGTGTAATTACCTAAGTGTAGTTACAGGATGAGAGCTACGCTCGTGGTGTCCCGTCTTCCCAGCACTCTTTGTCATATAACGCTTTGAAACTACTGATGGTCTTGGCCTCCAGTTTGCACGTCTGCTCCTGTGCGTTCTTGTTGCCTTGGGTCGCAGGTTGCATCCTGTTGTCTCGGTTTCGCGTTGCGGAGTTTGTGGCGGCCGCCTCCCGGGTTAGCTGTTTCTCTTCCTTCTCTTTGGGTATGAAGCTCCAGGGAGCCGTAGGGGCTCCCCACAGAAAACCAGCGTTGAATGTAATGAAATGCCATTTTCTGGGTGAGCCCCGGAGGCTCCCTGGCAACCCTCCCTCCCACCGGTCGGCGTTTTTTTCGCGTTGGTTGAAGCTTAGCTTCCGAACTGAAGCTTGGCAGCCGGCGCAGTAGGTCCGGGGCTTCCCCCTTCCCCTCTCGGGGCGGGGAGGGCTGTATGGACGATCGGCACGCAGTAAAATGTGATGTTTGCTTCTTTCCTTGAGATTGTAGGGCATTTCTACCTCTCTGTTTGTTTTTTTGTTTTAGTTTTTTACCATGTGGGGTTTGTTTTGTCATGCCTACCTTTCTGGGTGCCTGACCCTGGTTGATGGCTGATAAGGAAAACCCCAACCACAAGAGGGTTTTCCAGTGCCATTGCTCCCTGAAACCTCTCTGAAGGGGTCAGGTTCTGGCACTGGTCCCTGGTAGGTCTGAACTCCTTAGCTAATGTCCCGGTCTAATATAACATACATTAGCCCAATAAGCACCAGGGAGCCTCCGGGGCTCACCCAGAAAATGGCGTTTCATTACATTCAACGCTGGTTTTTTATTTTATTTTGACATATTCAACATATATGTGACCAGGGAAGGGTATTTAACACTTTTTGAAGTCCAAAAACATTTTTGCAAACAATTTATTTTCTGCACACCACGGGCTTGCCATATTTGTAGGCAGAGCAGTACTGTGATTAATGTCTGTTTATAACCTATTTATTGCTACTTATGTATATCTACTTAGGCCAAAAAGTATTTGTATATACATTTGGTATCATACTGCATGTGTACAGGAAGAAATGTATATGTTTATGATCTTGGCCTTGGCCATAAGTTTCTAAACATATGAACCTCTTCTAGTTTGTGCCATATGCTTATTACCGATATTTCTAAGGGATACTTCTTAATTCTTGGGCTCATTTGTGCTTTAAGTTTCCACGAGAACACAAAACAATCGATGTAATTTAGACAAGTTTAGAGTCAGAAAAGAAATTGGTTAATATTTTTTGGGAAATAGTTGTTGATTTATGGAACATGTTGCCAGATATAATAGACTTGGGTTGAAGATAAATTGGAACTGCCTTGCATGGGCCAATAAGTCTTCTGCCATTTCCTCTATTCTTATGATCTTTTGACGGAACTGTCTTTTTTCTATCTTTTTCTGTCGAAGACTGTCACGGAACAGTCTCTTTTCTTTATACCTTGTTTTAATGTGTTGATTTCTGTCTTATGCTTTCTTTATAGGACTAAAGGAACCAGTGACTCAAAGTTCTGGGCCACCACAAAATGTTGCTGTCGTTGTAAGCAGAAGCAGCAGTGACAGATTCAGCTCGCTTTTCTCGCCACAGTCATCTGGAAGCCGAAATTATCCCATTAATCTCTTAAGATCTCCAGCTGCAAATCATCCACCAGCACCACCAAATGAAACAGTATCTCCTGCACCACTTCCTCCACATGTTCTCTCTTCCCATATCCCTTCATTACCTTCACACCACCCACCAACCTCTCGAATTCCACCCTCATCATCTCGCTCACTGCCATCAAACTCAGTTATACCAACATTTGGTGTATTTTCAAATTCAGTCCCATCTCAAAATTCTTTACAAAGAGGATCACATCCACCAGCACCTCCTACAGGTTCACGGACTCGTTGGACTCCTGGAGTGCATAATCATATTTTGCAAAATATTAGTAATTTGCAGCATTTGGCTTCCTCTTCTAATGGCCAAGAAGAAACGCTTCCAATCTCACCTCAAGGTGTGGGAGACGATGATCAGTCAGACTCGCTTAGTAATCCTGTACCTGGTATCTCTTCATCATCATCATCATCTCATCTGTCAAGAGGTCCTTTCCGCTTATTAGTAAGAGCAGCGAGAGGCCGAGCAGGCCCTCTCTTGAGCCGACGGCCATATCGGCAGGTGCGCCGGTATAGGTGAGCATTGTGTATATAGAATTATATAAAATTATCAGAATTTTACAAAATAAAGGACACAAATCAGTAAATTTAAAACTGTTTGCTGTTCTCAAAGACAAACTTTGTTCATCATAGTTGGTTTGTATACTTTAAAATTACTATAATCATGGTAATCAAATCAAGGACCATTTGTTCTTTACCCAGCACAAACAGGTTTGGTATTTCATGTGAATGAACAAAATTATGTACTAGTCCAAATGGTGAAGTCTTCCACCATGTAACATTTAAATCATTTGATTGAGGGTTGCTGCTTCTGCTTGTGATTTTTTAGTTTGGAAACTGGCATGTTTTAAATAGTATTTTATTATATATATCATGATAGGCACTTGTATGTAATTTGTAAATCTTATTTAAGGCAACTACTATATATGTTGTTTTAATATTAAGTAATAAAGTATAGGGATATACTGTAACATTTACCTAAAAATTGACATAGAATGGATCAAGTAAGGAAATTTTGTTGAGGGGAGTGGCAGATATAGAGCAGAAACACAGAGGATTGAGAAGGACAAAGTCTGTTTACATTTCTGTATATGATAGTCAACAGTAAAGCTATAATTATATGCAACAGTGCACTGCTAATAGAAAAAAAAGGGGGGTATAAACTATTGCGCTGGCCAAGAACTTTCTCCACAGATGCTTTTTAGAAGATTGTAGATTGGAGGTGTTAGGAAAGACATAGGTGATAGTTTTGCCACATACTAGCTGTAGAAGTAGAAAAATGAAACAGCATAGATGAGACTATTGTAGCATTAGCAAAAGGGACAATATCAGGGAGAATATACTGCTTTGTAAGTTATGTGTGACACTATCGTACCGTTTATGGAAATGAGGAACGTAACTTGAGTTCCTGTGAGCATGAGCATTGGAAGCAAATAGAGAAGAGAAAGTAATGGGTTTATTAATGAAGAAATCTGCAGATGGGTTTCAGTAACGTTTGTAGAAAGGGTTCTAGATATGTCACATTTTGCATATCAGTAAAATGTCTTGAGTTGCTCTGTTTTATCATAAAAACCAAAGTACAAAACATGTTTAGCTGCAGCTGAATGCTTTATGTTTTGGAAGAAAATACATACAGTGGAACCTTGGTGTATGAATATAATTCATTTCAAGAAATGCAATGTAACCCGAATATTAGTTCATCAAATCAAATTTTCCTGTAAGAAATAATGTAAATTGAATTAATCTGTTCCACACATCCAAAAATATTAACTTAAAAATACAACTTAAAAGGAATACTGCTCATATTTTTTCATACACAAAACAATAAGGAATATATGGTGAACATTTAACTGCACTTTACCTTCACTGAGGACTTGTGTTGCATATAGAAGATGCAACCCGTTCTCGCAAATTTAATAAGTCAATATTGACTTATTAAATATGTGCATAGGTGACATACTTAACATAATAGATACCCTTAAAAAGATTCATAGAAAACACCGACCTTACCTAACCTTGTTAGTATCTTAAGATAAGCATCTTATTGCTTCGTAATTACAATTATTACCTAACCTATAATAGGTATAGCTTAAGTAATAATTGTAATTACGAAGCAATAAGATGCTTATCTTAAGATACTAACAAGGTTAGGTAAGGTCGGTGTTTTCTATGAATCTTTTTAGGGGTATCTATTATGTTTAGTATATCACCTATGCACGTAGTTAATAAGTCAATATTGACTTTACGAATTTGCGAGAACGGGTTGGAAGATGATGAGGAGAGTAGGAGTGGTGGTGTTAGTGTTTGGAAGGAAAGTTCCGTCCATTATAACATCAGGCAGTGATGACATTTCTGGGATACTCTCTCACCTACTTTTGTAGACATACCACTAGAACCTGGCTGCTGATCATTGGTTGTTTGTCTCACTAAGAATCTGTCTAAAGACACTTGTTTCTGGGGAAAGCCCCTATGGCTCCCCAGAGCTATCCAGGCTGATAGGGATAGTCTTAACTTTTGGCATCAGTTGATGTGGGCAGAGTTCTAGGCCTACCAGAGACCACGGCCAGAACTAGGCCCCCTCAGAGAGGAACGAGGAACAATGGCCCATAGAAATGTACATGTGATTGTGGAGCATTCTATATCTGCCATTGACCAGGACAGGCATCCAGAAAGGTAAGTGCCCCAGAACAAACCCCTATTCTGGTGAAAACAATAAAAATAGACAAACGAGTGGACAACTCCCCAAATGAAAACGAGCAAACAAGCATAACGTCACACTTGCTGTGCAGCATGTCTGTGCAGCTCCTCTCTCCCCGGGAGGGGGAAGGGGAAGCCCTAGACCCCCGCTCTGGCGATCCACACCTCAGTTCTTCGGCTGTTGGGATATTGTTCGTTCCCCTGTCCACGGAATGGACGGTCGATGCCGACTCATTCAGTTGGCTCTGCCAAACGTTCGGGCACCCGGAGGTGGATCTCTTCGCATCGGCGTGGTCGAGGCGTTTTCCGGTAAATGTGGCGCCCTCTCCCGACCGCGAGGCCGTCGGGAACGACGCCTTCTTGCAGGACTGGTAGTGGTGGGGTTTCCTGTACCTCTTCCCCCCGGCTCGCTGCTGCTCCAGGTTCTAGCTCGCTTGGAGACTTACCAAGGGCAGGTAGTCCTCTTGGGCTCCTGGTGGCCAGCACAGCCATGGTTTCAGGTGCTGCTTGCCCCATGTCCAAACCCGGAAGTTTTTCCGCGGCTCCGCCTCTTTCAGAAGATCGGCCCGGTCCGTTATGAGACTGGTTCGCTCTTCTCCTCAAGTCTTCGCGTTTGGTATTTTTTACTCGAGTTTACAAGATCACCATCTATATAGTGATCAGGTGGCTTTCTGATGGCAAAGCAAAGGTGTGATGGGGACATCTGTGGCAAAGCCCACAGATGTCCCCACCTGTGGGCTTTGTCTCCGCGGCAGTATGAAGTTTTCTGGCGTTTCTTACGTTTCTTTTTGACTCTTCGTCGTTGTACTTCGCTTTCGGTTAGGGTGGTGTTGTCCTTTCTCTCATAGTTATTCCAGGACCGTTATCTTATGCCGAATACTATTGCTTCGTATCGTGCGGTGCTGGCGGAGCCGCTTCAGCTAGCTTTTGGTATAGATGTTACTTCTGCTCCGTTTCGCAAGCTGTCTCGAGCGTTTGCTTCACCTCCGGCCTGCTCATGCTCCGCCTGAGCCATCCTGGTCTTTGGACAGAGTGCTCTTCTATCTCTCTCTTTTCTCCTCGATTTGTTATGGCCCCTCCGGTTCAGGATTGTTTTTTGAATGCTCTTTTCCTGTTGGCATTGGCCTCTGGGGTCGGGTCGGGGATCTTCATGCTCTCCTCCGGCGCAGGGGTTTCTTCTCTTTTGGTCGTGGAGATAAGTTTGTTTGTCTGCAGACGTCTCCTTCTTTTCTGGTGAAGAATGAGTCTGCTGCTTTCCGGAGGGGTCTTTGGGTTGTTGATGCTTGGTTGGTCAGGCCAGGGGTGCATCATGTGCTGTGTCCGGGTGCGGCCCTCCTCCGTTATTTGCGTGCCACAGCTTCTGTGTTCGGGGATGCTCTTTGGGTTGATTCGGTTTCATTTCTTTCCTGTTTGCTGGTACGGGTCTCTCAGGTCGTCCGCAGGTTTATTAAGTCTAGCCAGCCTGCAGTCTATCCCCGTGCCCATAATGTTTGTAAGTTCGCTGCTCATGCTGCTGTCTTTGGGAACATGTCTTGGGCTGACATTCGGGCACAGGGTTTTTGGCGGTCGAACAGGGTCCTGGCGGCCCGTTACCTTGTGAATGTTCCTGGGCCTAGTCAGGCCTGTGTCGCTTTGGGTCGGCGGCTGCAGCCTGTCTCGACCTCGAATTGAGGTGTGAAGCACCGACCGCCTCCCGGATAAGTCCCCTTCCTTATTTTGTCTTTGGTGAAGTAGCTCCGGGAAGCTGTAGGGGCTCCCTCCCAGAAAACCAGCGTTGAATGTATTGAAACACCATTTTTCTGGGCGAGTCCCGGAGGCTCCCCGGCAATCCTCCCTCCCTCCGGTCGGCGTTTTTTCGCGTACAGTATTTTGATATCCAGCCTCAGAACTACGGTGTGGATCGCCAGCGTGAGGGTGTGGGGCTCCCCCTTCCCCCCTTCCTGGGGAGGGGGAAGCTGCGGAGATGTGCGGCACGGCTCGTGATGTCATGCTTGTTTGCTCGTTTTCATTTGGGGAGTTCTATCCACTCGTTTGTTTATTTTTACTGTTTTCCCCAGAATAGGGTTTGTTTTGGAGCACTTAGCTTTCTGGGTGCCTGTCCTGGTTGATGGCAGATATAAAATGCTCCACAATCACATGTGCATTTCTATGGGCCATTGCTCCTCGTGCCTCTCTGAGGGGGGCCAGGTTCTGGCTCATGGTCCCCGGTAGGCCTAGAATTCCACTCAAATCGACTGATGCCCTGAGTTAGGATCAGCCTATCTTATCAGCCTGGATAACTCCGGGGAGCCTCCAGGACTCGCCCAGAAAATGGCGTTTCATTACATTAAACGTTGGATTTTAAGTCTATGTTTTTGCAATCGTCTGTAGTGAAATATCACCTTGTCACTAAAAAGGTAAACACAGCGGCTTGCTATAGCTTTATCTGGGTGAGTCTTTTCAGCAAAACTTTGCAGTTCTTCCCACATCGCACACATTTTCCTAGCCAGATCAACCACAAGCACATTTGTCTTCATGATAATTTTTTTTCTATCATCCTCACAACTATTTTCTTAGGTTGAACTTCACCACTGACTTTCTTAGGACCCATGGCATAATATATAATAAGAGCTTCTTTGTTAAACAACAACAACAACAAAAAATACAAAAGCAAGTGTAAACTGATCTTACAGCTCAGACAAGTATGAACGAGCTGTTCATATTATAGAGCAAATGTTGTACACCTGGGCATATTTTCCAACAAAATTTTGTTGTGTACCGGAAAATTCATATTCAGGTGCAATCGTACACTGTGTTCCCACTGTATCAATTTTCAAAAGCTGATTGATCATAAGTGTGTGGGTTTTAGGTGAATTTCTCTACTGTATTGTTATTTAAGAAAACAATATATGCAGAGAGCAGACTATAGATTTTATATTTCTTGAGTGACTGATATACAGACAAGTGACTATGTGGAAACCAAAAAAAAAAATATATATATAAATGAATGTAAGTAAAATGTAAATTTGAAGAATTGGTGAAAATGTGAGGTGTCGGGTAGTACATAAATTAAATGTGCTCTTATGGAAGAGTATGTAGTGTTGTTCATAGACTTATGATATTCAAGGAAGGAAGTAAAGTACATATAATAAGATTAAAGTATAAAATAAAACCCATTTGTGGGCGACATTGGCTTGTAGTGTGTGTACACTCAACTATCAACTATTTCAACATTATTTTATTGCTGTTAGCAAGTAGCTTATCAATGCACATTTTTGTACTGAATGTTTGTAATGCTCTTAACACAAACTCTTAGATAAAGACTTGACATTTAAATTTTAAGGATGATTAAGTAGGAAATGGTACAAAAACAGTATTTTATATATTTTTATAACTTGAACACTTCTTGAAATGAATAATTAATTTTAATGTTTGTTAATTTCTTTGTGCAGTTAGCTGCATAATGTACTACTACATAATTGTTTTAATGTCTGCACGGATGGTACATTGGTTAGCACAGCTGTCCGTGTTTATTCCCCGTGCAGGCGGGAGGCAGCAATTTCCTCAGAAGTCAGCAGGAGAAGAAGTAACATTACTATTGTTCTTTGAAAAGTTCTGGCAGTTCAGTAATGAGGAAACCCCATGAGTTCATATTGCTTACTTTTGTATTAGTGAAAATAATTAGATAGATCATAATAGCAATACTCTAGTGTATTACCCTGCAAATACACAATGTAATGGTCCCTATTGTTACCTTGTTATAACCTGTTACAAAGTTGTTACAACTTGTTTGAATGTTGTAGCAACGTGGTAGTTTTGTAGTGCGTTTGGTGGGTAGTAGCTCAAGAGACTAACATTTTGTACTGAGAATGTTGAGCATTATTCCCAGTCATTATTGTTTGTTTTTAGGTACAGTAATTGTAATTCATTGAAATTAATATAATTATTTTTAATATTGGGGAATGCATGTGGAATGTGTGGGATGAGTGAGTATAACAACTTGATGGTTGCTTAGTTAATGCCAAGTGTCTTCAGTCAGGTAGTGATGACTGTACAACTGTAAAATACATAGTGCCAAAATGTGAAGGTTAATGTATATATATTTAACTTGGGAGGCAGCAGTGTATTAATAATATAC